CGGGGGCCTGCGGGAGGGCGCCCGTCCCGGGCCGGCGGCCGCGGGCCTGGCAGTGCCCTCGGCGGCAGCGGCGGGACAGAGCGGTCCGGCCGCCGGGGCCGCGCTGAGCCCCTCCCGGCGCAGGGCGGCACCGCCGCTTCCGCCCCGCGCACGGCCCGGACCCCGCGCCAGGTGCGGTGCCCCGCGCGGTAACAGCGGGAGCGGCTGAAGGCACCCTGTCATCCCAGCGCTCTGTTCTCTTCCGTTACTTCCCCCAGGAGAGCAACGCAGCAACGCTCCAGCTACAGAAATTACTTTCCCTTGTCAGGGTCCCACGTCTTCCACTTTTCTGTTATCATTAACAATATTACTGTTATTTAGCTTCAGAAAACTACGAAGTTTACACTATTTAATGTAAATACCATGTTGGCATTCGTGCTGCAAAACAGAGTATTGCCGTAAACCTGGGTGGAGGTATCACAACTATGCCCTTCATTCCCAAGGACTGAGGAACACAGTAACAGAGCCTGATACCAACTTCTACAACAGCTCCTGCATCAAGTGGACCAATGCAGAAAGTGTACCCAGGAGGGTTGCATAGTCATCCCTCACCCTGAAAGCTTAAATGCAGAGGAGGGAGACCACTTTACTCCCGCTCTATAAGTGATAGACTTTACTGATTGGAGGTATGACAGCTTTACTCACAGGTCCTGTAAGATTCACTGATGACAATCATCTTAGAGCTGCAGCATCAACTCTCAATTTATAAAGTGATCCTGAGCCTGTAAGGGCTATATTTGTATATATATAAAGTTTTATAATGTTATGGTGGCTTATTAATGCATAAAAAGGGTATTTTTAAACAAGAGCTTCAGTAATTTTATCTTAAGTGTTTGTAACAAGACAAATGTAAATGTGCCTCTGAGAAACAAAGCAATACATTGAAAATACTGCCTTTTGCTGAGGGATACAAGTTACAGTTCAAACTACATGTCAGAATATCCAAGGCTCTTCCTGTGATGTTTTTCACTCTAGAAGAGAAATGGTGTTACAGGTAAGGAAATCATATTGCAATCAAACCAGCAAAGAGTTCATGAGATGATACATGATCTCAAGACTATTTAGCTGCCTTCTTTCATAGTTCCATAAAAACCAGTACAAAGCTACTAATTATGTAGCTGAGAAGACAAATTTAAGAGACATTTCAAAAGTCTCATGGTAAACTTTCTGACACTTTAAACATGGGAAAGTTACAGATGGAAATAAGTAAGTTCCGAATATTTGTTAAATATGCAACCTCTAAGTGCTTTTCAATTTGCATCAAGCCACCAATATTGCTTTCATGGAAATATAGCCCACACTGATTTGCTCTTCTGAATTACAACATAACCACAAAGCTTCTCCTTTCTTAAAGCTGTTAGCATCAATAGTTCTATTTTTACTTTGTCTCAATGTTTTTTGTCCCTTGGATCTTCTTTGTTGAGATATAAATATTTCAACTCCAGAATAATCAGATAAAATATAAATGAGTGAAATTATGTATAAACTGTGGAAATTTTGTGCAAATTTTCCTTTTTTTTTTTTTTTATGCTTAAAGATGACTGTGTGACAAGGCAGGAAAAAACTGAGCCAAACAAACAAGCTTGGCTTAACAATTTACCATTCTGCTACAACAGTAGATGAACCAATTAAACTTGTGTCTGTTATTTGGTATCGGTAATCTTAAATGTGTTTACAATGATGTCATTCAAAAGGAAAGCTAAATCATTAACTAGAATATAAAGCACAACATGGAACTAGATACAGTCAAATCACTTTTGAGGCTGTATGCCCTTTATAATCCCCTGCAGTCATTTGGGGTTTCTTTCTGAGATTGTTTATGAGCCTACACCACCTATGTATACTATATATTATCACCAGATAATTTCTCATAAGGTACGGGAAAGGATAAACTGATAGCTGGCTTAGAACCATAAAATGATAATATTTTCAGTTCTGTCAGTTGAAGACTATTGCAGTTCCTCAGAGACTTGTAATATCCTTCAACTGATGTAATTAAGACTTCTAACACACTTTTGTTGACATTACTTGAAAGATGTATTCAGTCAGTAACAGCTAAGATACTAAAATGTATTGGTTAAAAACATAAAATAGTTAGAGAACTGTATATAGTAATAAAAACCATAGGAAGAACATACAAGTCTGTTCACTCTGGTTTGCTACTGTTCACAAATTCTCCATCCCCACAATTCTTTGTAAATCTGAGAGAGACATTTTTTCCTGGGGGAAAAAATTCTAGGCAAGCCTACTTTAACAGATTTTTTTTTTAATTATCACAGCTTTTGGATTTACACATTGAATTTGGAAAAGAATGGAAAAGTCCAGAAACGTAATTTTATCCATTTTTCTAGACTATGTCTGGAACTCACACACAGAACTTCCATGTGCTTTTTTGTAAGAAGGGTTGTGTGTATTGATGATCTCACGTAGTATCCCATGTAATGGGATACTAGAGAAAGAAAAAAAGGATGCAAAACAGCAGGATTTGTATTGTAGGCATTCAAGTAGTATAGAGCACTGAACCTACATGGAACAGCCTTGATTACTTCTACATCTTTGATCACAGACAAATTTGTAAGTGGAGCATATTGGTACCTGTGACAGCAGAATTATCAAGGGACTTCTACAAATACAATATGCTGCATGAAGAAATGGGGTGATATAGAAGACATTGCAAGTCAGACAAAGTAGCAAAAGTGTGTTCAACTTTCCTGTTCTCTCATATGCATTTTGTTTCCAGTACCTAAAAGGAGCCTACAAGAAAGATGGAGAGACACTTTTTACAAGAGCATGTAGTGACAGGGCAAGGGGGAATAGTTTCAAACTGAAAAAGCGTAGGTTCAGACTAGGTATGAGGAAAAAGATCTCTGCTGTGAGGGTCGTGAGGCACTGGAACAGGCTGCCCAGTCAAGTTGTGGATGCCCCATCCATGGAAGTGTTAAGGGCCAAATTGGATGGAGCTCTGAGCACCTTGTCCATAGCAGGTGGGTTGGAACTAAATGGTCTTCCAGGTCACTTCCAACCCAGGCCATTCTATGATTCAATACCAACAGATATGAGAAAATAAAGAATCCCTACTCTTAATAAAGAGTAAGTTGAATGACATTTTTCTAATAACCCTTCAAATTAAATTTTGCAGCTCTTCAGATAGTTACCAGAGAGGTTTCAAGCTGCCCTAGAAATTGTCTTAATATTTTTGTTTGGTTACTTTGTTTTAGACAAATATCTCAAGCAAAGTCAGAACAAAAAAAAAAAAAACCAACAACAAAAAAAAACACCACAGGGTGGGAGGCAAGGGGAAGGGGGCACACCAGAAAAGGAAGCAAAGCCACTGTCAAGTACAGCAAGGGCCAGCTGCTCCCTAACAACCAGGGAGCCAAGGAAGATGTCTTGCAAGGCAGGGACCTTTCTTGGCCAGGACCAATCTGGTAGTACCTGAGCAAGGAAATCTAGGGGGGGTGCTAGAATCCATCAAGAATACAGATCATCCACCGAGTCCACAATGATGAGGCAGGTTTGGATTAGCAGAATTCATAGCCAGATCAGGGTTGTAGCCAAGTTGAAAATCAGCATCCCACACCATCTGTAAATGTTGTATCCCCATTGTGAGCTTAAATAGAGCTCCAGGCCCTTGGGTGAGGTCAGTGAGGGGGATGCAGGTGGAGTTGCTCAGGGTTTCTAAGGCTCAATAGTGGTCTCAGAGCCTTAGCAGCTAGCAGGTCAAGAGGAGGAGTTCTAAGGAACAGTAGGAGCAGGCTGCTTTATAAAAAAAGTGGAGCTGAGAATGATTACAAATCAGGTAGGACCCCCATATACCTGACCAAGGTAAACAGAACTGTTTACTTATGTAGAGTCAACCTACAATCTAGCTAGCTAGACAAACCCCTTGTAACAAGGTAGGCCCAACATCGAGCTGAAAATCAGAGTTACAAGGTAACAGTAACCAGTGTCAGTGCTGGCCCAGCAGTCACCAGGGAAGCCTATATTGTCAAGGCAGGTCAAAGGTCAAGCAAAGATATCGAGTTTGTGGGTCAGGACCTGGCTATGGCCGGGCACAAACATGGCTGCAATATCATAAAGGCAGACACCAGGCATAAGAGCCTCTTCTAAAACACAGTTCTTGCATGAGAGAGGGGAGATCTCCCATATTTCTGGGAGTTTGTCAGCAGTCTGGACCCAGAGGAGATTTTGCTCCATGTCATGGCCTTGAGCACAGAGAGATGACCTAGAAGAGGAAAGCATCCTCTGTTCCCAGACAAGAGGCAGTAGGAAACAAGGAGAGGAGCTAACCTCTTCTTAACTAACAGTGTTTCTCTCTGGAAATCATCTCTTACTGTCTAAATGCTATGTAGTAAGAGTCTCAAAACTGTTTTCCAGAAGAAACTTTAAAATGAAGAAAGAGGTAGGACAACCTGTGGCAGAAATAGCAAGTGAGGGAAGTACAATTAGTGTTTACTGAAG